TTTTTTTTTTTTTTAGGGTTCACAGGTTGTTTCCTTCTAATACAAATGCTGTAAACATTTGTGTACAGGTTTTTAACCTAAAAATAAAAGGCCTTTCAAAGTGAGAGGTAACAAACATTTAAGATTTTTAAAAATAACTATTAGGAAGCACAAATTAGGCAGAAGCCCAAATAGCTTTCCAATTAGGAGCGAAGGCAAGACATATTTATGAGAAAGGGAAGGGGACTAGTTCTATTAATAATAAAATAAAATAAAGGCATTTCTATTGGTTCAGATAAGGTAACATAATGACTATAATTCTAAACAGTGTTATTTTTATTTTTAAAATTTTATCTTTATTGTTGAAAGTATTATAGATGTCACCTTTTTTCCCCCACTGACCCTCTTCACACAGCTCCCGCGCACCCCCAGGCCTTCACCCCCCTATTGTCTCTGTCCATGGGTTATGCATATAAGTTCTTTGGTTAGTCTCTTCTGGGCCCCTACACCCCTAAACAATGGTTTTAATTTTCAGTGTAGTAGCCCTCTTCTGTGGTCATAATAATTGCTTTCTTGTTATCCTTGCAAACAGTTCTTGGGGCACAATGTTGTGTTAGGCCCAGTCCCTGTTTTCCGTTTCAACATTCCAAAGATTTGAGGGGTAGACGTGCAGGTCTGTTCCCCTGGGATGGCAGCTCTGGCTCCATTTTAAAGTGGGTCTGTTCATATTATTTTTTACGTTTTGCCCCTTTTGATCAAGGTCTTTCTTTGAAAGCACCGCTGATCAGTCGTCAGAAAGAAGTACTGACCAGTTACTAAAAGCATTGTTGGTTCTCCGTTGTCAGGCGGCTCTTTCCTGATCTGCCACGTCCTGCATAGGAGAGAAAATGATTTTTTCGGAGCGTTAGGCCACATTTGAGTAACAAGAGTGCCAGCACAGGGGAGGGCTTTTCTTTCAGGGCAAATACCTTCTGCCAGTTCTTGAGGTTTCTCAAATTGTCTTGTAAGCCTTATGGATCACCTTAAAATGTTGAGCAAGCATTATTAAGGTGGTGTCTATAATATCAAGCTATGGAAAGCAAACAATTATATATAACAGCAAAATTTTTATAATAACAAAATGCTAAGTCCAATTGGAAGAATAAATCTGACCAGGAGACAATACCCGAGGGCAGTCAGCTGAAGATATTAAAGAACCATGAGGTGTCAGTGGACACTGTACTTAATCATTTGGTTTATGTTCAGATTTAATCCAGGCTCATCTTTACTTTATCAGAGTACAGCAAGAGGTGTTAACAAACAGAGCAAACCCCACCTTGCTCATCTGGGATATGGTCAAGAGCAGTTCCATTGTCTAACATACTCATGCAAGGGAATTTAAAGATTTCTCTTGACTGGTTATTGCTGTGGTGGTCATTGCAATACCTGCCCAAGGAAAAATTCTTCTTCCAAATCTGGTCCTTCACTAGGCTGACATCTCCAGGCACTGAATATCCTTGAGTATTACGCAGAACCGATTGCAAAGTAAGTTCAAAGGTGATGCCCAACGTTGAGTTGTCTTCCCAGACAGAAACTAGAGGAGAAAGGGAAACAGTATTATAGTCAGTGCTTGGCCTCATATTGTTTGTGAGATAGGAAGGAACTGAAGTAGGGGAGGAGAAATGAAGGCTTGCCCAGAATCTTGGGTCACCTGTCCACAACAGATGTCATCTGCTTCATTTCCAAGTAATTTTTTATTTCAAATCCTCTGTTGGTTGAGCAGTTCAGTTAGAAGCAAGAGCTTTTTCAAAAATTGTGAAACATGAATCCAGGCATCATCACCTTTAAATCTGGTCACAAATGAATGAGTTAAGCGGCGTTTCCGTAGTGTAGTGGTTATCACGTTCGCCTCACAAATGAATGAGTTAAGAGTATCAGAATTTTGAAGGGATCAGGGAGGAAGGAAAAGATCGATGTTTCAATTTTGCTTACGAAGGTATAATTTACTAAGTTGCTGTAGGTCATGAGCTTAGAAGAAAATATATATATATTGAAAACAAGATAAAAAACCATAATATTTTATATAAAAAGTTATAAAAATTATAATAATTCTGATCAGTTCACTTATCCCATGTTATTAATACTTATTGATCTTGATGTTTTTGTTAGCAGTTTTATGAATCCAGTCTTTCCTTAGAGTTCTATAGATCTTTTAACCAGTTCAGTGTTATGTTTTTAAATTTATCAGAAACCTGCATTTTAGCACATTTTTCAGGGTGGTTTTTTTTTTATGAATCTTTGAAGATGAAAAAACTTCTAAAAACATTTTTGCCAGCATCAGAGTAAAATAATAATTGTTTGTAAATAATAAAAGACTTGCCCAGCTGGTATGGCTCAGGGCTTGAGCATCGACCTAGGATCCAGGAGGTCGAGGTTCAGTTCCCATCAGGGCACGTGCCCGGGTTTCGGGCTCCATCCCCAGTGGGGGGCGTGCAGGAGGCAGCCGATCAATGACTCTCTCATCATTGATGTTTCTCTCTCTCTCTCTCCCTCTCCCTTTCTCTCTCTGAAACCAATAAATATATATTTAAATAATAATAATAAAAGACTTAAAAATGGCCATGGTTAAAGATTTGATGAGTTTATATGCATACATACATATAAATGATGTAAGTGACCGAGTTATTCACTCTGACCTTAGCTTGCCTGTATATGAAGTTCTTTTCTTAATATCCTTCCTCCACAAACCTTCTGCAACATAAACCTTCTGCAACTTACATATACATTTCNACACATGACCACATCCAGAGTTTCATACAAGGTACATATTACCACGCACATAACGTCTCCAATACCATAAATGCCCTTCCCACTGTTGGCACTTCCCTCTGATTCTCCAGCTTGGGTAGATCCACAGGCTTTCCCTCTTGGTCAGAGGCAGCACTCTGCCCTGTAGGCCTTGTCTCAGGATGACTTACTCTGTGTCCAGGTTGCAGAGCGCCAGTTGCAGGCGTGGGAAGCAGACCAGCAGGAAGCAGAGGAAGAGGAGGCGGCAAAGCAGGCAGAGCAGCTCACCGATGCCCTGTTAGAGCAGGAGGCAAAGATGATGGCCAAGCAGGGATACCGGCCCAAGGTAGGGAGCCTGCAGGTGACAGCCACTGCTCTCCCAGGACTGTTCACAGCCCTGTGCTCAGCTCTGCTCCCTGCCAGCTCAGATTCTTCCTTGCTCACCTGTTGTATTTCTTTTCTCTACTAGTGGGGAACCTTGACACTGGGTCTGTTTCATCTTTGGTGGGGCCTCTTACAGCCCTTGACGTGATTCTGACTTGGCTCCTGTGGCTGCAACCAAGGGTTGAGGTCCTGACTGTTAAGCTGTGTGCCTGTTACCCTGTTTGGGGACAAATAGCAATCTAAGAGCGTTGGCCACAGCTGGTGAGAGGTGAAGGCAGTGGTTCTAGGCCCTAACTATCCAGACATCAGAGCCCCTGCCCCTCCTTTACCAGGGCCACCCAGGTGCTCTAAAGTGCTGCAAAACAAAGGCCGGCTCCTCTGTGGTCAGATAACTCTGGGAAGCTGATGAAACATTCAGAGCAAGTACTACACCGGCTGCAGAACATTAATGTCCTAACTGGCTAAGGCTCTTGAGGTGCAGGGGACACCATTTTAAACTTTCTTGGCCATGGATCAGTGAGTGTCTCAGGATTAGGGTGTCACAGAACACATGTGAAAATGTTCCTACATAGGGCTGGTGCTTTAAAAAAAGTCATCAAGTGCCTCATTTGTAGCTTAGGGTTAAAGCTGCTTTGGCTATAAATGAAAACAGCCATTTATACTGTGCTTTTTAGCTCTTACTTACAATGGATTAATTCCCAGTGCTCCAGAGAGTGCTGATCTAATCAGTCTTATGTTTTCATTCTTTTTTCAGCCTTATGGACATCCCAAAATTGCTTGGAACTGACTTCCTTGGTACTGGAAGCACAGAGAACAAGGGTGCTGAGGCCTTTGATATGCAACCGCCAAACAGTTTTACAATGTTCTGCTCTAGTGTTAGGGTCACTGGAAAATAGGTCAGTGAGCCTGTCAGGTCCATGATAAAATGGATCAAGGGTCTGGCCAAACTTTAAGGTGTTGTGAATATGCAACACCTAGTAGGAGGCCCTTCCATGCCTTTCTTATTCAAGAAAGGGGGTTTTATAGTCACGCACTGATAGTGCTGTCACAGTCTTGCACTATATTCATAAATAATGTAAGATTCTAAGTCTGTGCTAGGAGTTACAAGTTGTGTTCCATGACAGGACTCATGATCTCCTGTTGTCTCACCCTTAATTGTCAACCTCCAGTGAAGCCTCCAGCCAGATATGAGGGGAGGTTTTTCATTTTTTAAGTTGCCATTTAAATTTAACTATTCTATTGCAGACAGACGTGTAAGATTTATTAATTTAGTGGTCCCAAAAGGATCACATCTTGGTTTCTGAAGAAAAGAACTATGAACCCTGAGACAGGCTGATGTGGTCCTTGGGTGCTTTCTGGAAAGGTAGTGAGAAATGAGTCTTCCCTCCTTTAGGAAGCACTTGGTAGAATTTCCAAAGAGCACTGGGGAGGGGGGGAGTGTGATCCCAACATCTATGTTACTGAGCCTCAAAAGGGGACTTCAGAAGGTCGCTTGGATAGCTAACCTTTTGGTATGACACTTTGGATCTCTGGTGTCTCAGGAAGGTCTAAGCTACATACAGCCTTCTAGGACTTATGTACCCAGAGGAGGGACACTGACCCTGAAGAAACTAGATCAGACTGAACCACAAATTAGCCAAACGTTTCTCTTCCCACTGTTATATCAATGTGACATAGCTCTAGATTAATCTCTACAAGAAGTTCCTTGGCAGCAATATTTTTATGACTTTTTTTTCATATTCTTTCTGTAAAGTTTTTGTTACATTGTGTTCAAGAATCCGTATCTCAGTAAATTACAGCTAAATACTGTTCCAGGTTATTAAAAACCAGAGTTTATTTAAAAATCCTGAGCCTAAGGGCTGTGTTGCCTTTCACTTCCATTGTGTTATTAAAACAAATTAACCTGCAAACTATATCCTTAATCTGTTTTTCATTTTCTTATCTTGAATTTCTTTGGATATGATCCACTGAGCTCCATTTTCATTGTGCATGCTCATATTTATTCCTGTTTCAGATGTTCATTACTTGTGAAATAAAGTTCTGGTTTGACTGCATCACTTCCAGGCTTTGTTACTGTTGCTTTTATTAATTGCTGCAAAGTGGGTTGTGTAGAATGATAGATTTTTAGTTATTTAATCCACAGCCCTAGCCAATTTGGCTCCGTGGTTAGAGTATCGGCCTGAATACTGAAGGATCTGGGGTTTGATTCCAGCCAAGGGCATGTACCTCAGTTGCAGGATCGATCCCTGGCTCCAGCCGGGGCACGTGCAGGAGGCAACCAATTGACGTGTCTCTCTCACATCAATGTTTCTCTCTCCCTTCTACTCTAAAAAAAAAAAAAAAAAATCAAGGCCCTAGCCCTGGCCAGTTTTGCTCAGTGGTTAGAGCATTGGCTCGGGGTCCCTGGTTCGTGGGCTGCAGCCAATCTCTCACTTCAATGTTTCTCTCTCTCTCCTTATCTCTAAAAGTCAATTTTAAAAAAACCCCACAAAAAACAAGGATCTGACTAAGACAACATCAAACACACCTTTGTTTTTAGGCCAAAAACTGGTTATAAAATCTGATCAGGAGCTGACCAGTAGTACAGGAAAACTGTCCTTTTAGCAGAGAAATAACATTAATTGTTAGCTTTACATAAGCACACTGTTGATATAAAAGCTTAATTTTTTAAAACTCTTACAATAACAGTTTAACTTTAGGCAGTTTAATTATAAGATGTAAAATTCTGAAATAACCAGGACAAAATTATTTTCATTCCCTTAATGAAAACATATCTCTATATCTTATACCATCTTTTACTGCAAACACATATTCTTTCCATGTTAATTAGAAAGTTTACCCTTGGACACCTCAATTTCTAGTGACAACTGAAAGTGAATTATCAGCGTTCTTTAGATTGGCAAAAATGTGACTCCACATTCCAGGAAGACCAAATAGCAGAGCACTTTCAGAGAACTGAGAGGCAGAGGCACTTGAGAGCAGACAGCTTGGGCCAGAGTTGACGGAGGTGGGAGGACAGGTGGGCAGGAAGGCAGGGCAGACCAGAGACTGAGTCTCCCAGGTTGTGGCTTCAGCTGGGCAGCAGTGCAAAGTCTCTGGGGATTTTAAGCAGAGAGGAACAGCATGGTCAGAGATGACTGCAAAGAGATTGTGCTGGCTTCATGTCAAGAACGGGTCAGAGTGGGGCAAGAGGTGATGGGGAAACACACAGTAGGCCACTGTGCTGTAGAAGGCCATGCAGACCTGGCCTGTTGACTGTGTCAGGGGGAGGAATGGTGCAGAGGCTGGGGGCATTTGGAAGGAAGCAGGAGACTTTGGCCCAGACTGTCCTTGAGGATCTGGAGAACAGGAGGTGCCGTGGTGATTCACCCCTTCAGTGCCTTATTTTTCTAATAAGCTCCTTACTAGGAAAGGCAGCAATAAAGAAAGGGTGCCTTGGACCTTCTGAGAGACTGGAAAGCATGGAGCCTTGGCTTTGCCTTGTGTGAGTGTTGCTAGTTCCCACCAGCACACAAGCCTGGTGATCGCATATAAAAGGAGAATCTTGGGCAGAAGCCACCTACCCAGCAACAGTAAGCATGAGGCAAGTGGACGCAGGCAGAGCACGTCCAAGGCCCGGGGTTGCAGAATGCTGATTACATTCAGATCTCTTGGGGTTGCTTTTAAAAATTCAGATTTGCAGATTCCACCTCAGACTCACCGAATCAGAATATTCAAAGCTTGAGGCCAGGGGATCTGATTTTTTAAGTAAGACTCAAGCGACTGTGTTGTACAAAGTTAGAAATCCAAGTATATAAAGTCATCATTGCTGTGTAACAAATAACAAGTTTAGTGATTTATTTAAACAACACACATTGATTAACTTACCACTTCTAAGTGTAAAGAGTCTGGCCCGTCTCCACTGGGTCCCTGCTCAGGGTCCCTTAGGTCTCATCTGAAGGCTACACTTTCGGAAGGGCTCACATTTGAGCTCATGTGGTTGTTGGCAGAATCTAACTCCTCCAGGGCTATTGAACTGAGGTCCTAGCCATCTGGCTGGATGTGGCCCTGAGTTGCTTGCCACATGGGCTTCTTTCCACGGCGTGGCACCTTGCTTCCTCAAAGAGCACAGGCGAGAAGGCAAGAGAGGTCTGCCCCCAAGACAGAAATCTCAGTCGTATGAAACCTAATCATGGAACCACATTCCACATATTCTGTTGGTTAAAAGAAAGTCATCACATCCAGCTTACACTCCGGGGGGGGGCCACAAGGGGGTGAGCGCCAGGAGCCAGGGATCATTGGGGGGCATCTTCTGGTCCATCTGCCACACCGGTTTCAAAAAAGGCAAGTGTAACCCCAAGATCTGAGCTTTGAAGTTCAATGAAATGATGGAAGCAAAGTTCTTGGGATGGTGCCTGGAACACGGTAACAATCCCATAGACGTCAGATATTTTTACTACTGTTATGACAGTGAAATAACACTGCGTTCGGGTTGTGTCATGAACAAACGGCTTCTTCCTCAGATGGTTGTGCTTAAGACAATCATGGGCACATGGTACACGTACATTCACTTGTGCCCTTATTTAAAAATGAATTGGGGCCCGGCCGGGGTGGCTCAGCGGTTGAGCATCGACCTGGGATCCAGGCAATCGANTTATGTTTTTAAATTTATCAGAAACCTGCATTTTAGCACATTTTTCAGGGTGGTTTTTTTTTTATGAATCTTTGAAGATGAAAAAACTTCTAAAAACATTTTTGCCAGCATCAGAGTAAAATAATAATTGTTTGTAAATAATAAAAGACTTGCCCAGCTGGTATGGCTCAGGGCTTGAGCATCGACCTAGGATCCAGGAGGTCGAGGTTCAGTTCCCATCAGGGCACGTGCCCGGGTTTCGGGCTCCATCCCCAGTGGGGGGCGTGCAGGAGGCAGCCGATCAATGACTCTCTCATCATTGATGTTTCTCTCTCTCTCTCTCCCTCTCCCTTTCTCTCTCTGAAACCAATAAATATATATTTAAATAATNTCATTGATGTTTCTCTCTCTCTCTCCCCCTCTCCCTTTCTCTCTCTGAAACCAATAAATATATATTTAAATAAGAATAATAAAAGACTTAAAAATGGCCATGGTTAAAGATTTGATGAGTTTATATGCATACATACATATAAATGATGTAAGTGACCGAGTTATTCACTCTGACCTTAGCTTGCCTGTATATGAAGTTCTTTTCTTAATATCCTTCCTCCACAAACCTTCTGCAACATAAACCTTCTGCAACTTACATATACATTTCAGTTTCTGTCCTATCATTTTCTTTCTTATTTTGAAAACAACCATTTTATTTTAGGAAAAAATCTCTTTCCTTTTTCTACCTTTATTACAACAACAATAAATAATAAATAAATAAATGTCATTTTTATATTTTCTATCCAGAAAACACAGTCTACTTTTCTTCTCTTCTCAACAAAACGAATCTCCATGCTTCATACCTTCTTTTGCTGAACACACACCTCTTATTTTCCATATACAGTCATTTTGTTTTAGCCTTACTATTTTCTAGTACTTCTGTAGAAAGCCATAGCTGGTTTATAAACCAGTTTTGTCAAGGGAACCTATACAGCAGTCTGTAGTTTTAAAAAGTTCTCTTCTTTTTTCCCTTCAGTCTCCATGGACAATGTTTGGTTAGTTCCTGGCTGTTTACATTTCAAAGACATAAAAAGATTTGTAACTTTCAGAGACAGAAAAAGTCTTTAGGTTTTTTAGCAATATACCAGTATATATCAGAATTTTAGGAATTTTATATAATTTTTTGGACATTTATATTAGTAACATAGTGGCATAAATATAGTCAAAGGTTTAGGCACTATTTGACAATGCCTCTCCTGCATTTTGTAGCATTATTTGGTATGTCGAATAAGCATAATTAGCTTAATTTCTTTCTTTGATAAAAAGAAAAAATTTTTGAAATGTTTCAGGGATTCTTCTGAAAAATCTCAAAGTTCTTAATAATTTCAAAAGTCAAGAAAAATATTCTATTTCATTTTTGAATCTTGGGAAGTTCATCAAACATATCAAAAGGTTTAAAAATGTGGAACAATAATTTGTGAAATATTTATTTAACTAAAGTAACAACACAAGATTTTAAAGACAAATACAGAGGTTACATAGTTACAAGTAAAATTTTACTTATTACTGCAAAGATTAAGATTTCTTTTAAAAAATTCAAGGCCCGCTTGCACATGCCCGGGTTGTGGGCTCGATCCCCAGTGGGGGGCGTGCAGGAGGCAGCCGATCCATGACTCTCTCATCATTGATGTTTCTATCCCTCTCTCCCTCTCCTTTCCTCTCTCTGAAACCAATAAAGATATATTTAAAAAAAAAAAAAAAAAATCAAGGCCCTAGCCCTGGCCAGTTTTGCTCAGTGGTTAGAGCATTGGCTCGGGGTCCCTGGTTCGTGGGCTGCANCCCTCTCCTTTCCTCTCTCTGAAATCAATAAAGATTAAAAAAAAAAAGAATTGGGGGTGTTAAAAGACTAAAATATACTAAAGTAGAATCCTGTTAATGAAATTAAATAAAAATAAAGAGGAAGGAGAATTAGAAGATTATGGTGATATCAGAGGAAAAGAAATCTGTGTACCCTGTAAGGCCCTGGAAACCTGTTAAAACAGGCCTGGCATACATACAAGTAAATGTGACCTGTTAAGATAACTGCCAGCTATTCTAGGGAGGAAGGAAAGGAAAAGGAATTTAAGGAATGACTTTATGGAAATGTATGGGCTGAATAGTCTCGCCCTCTCAAGTTAATATGTTGAAGCTCTAACCCGGGTACCTCAGAATGTGACTGTATTTGAAGATAAGAGGTGATTAAGTTAAAATGAAGCCATTAGGGTGGGCCCGACTCAATCTGACTAGTGTCCTTATAAGAAGAGGAAATTTGGACACACACAAAAACACCAGGGATGTGAGTGCACAGAGGAAAGACCATGCGAGGACAGGACAGGAAAAGAGCCATCTGCACCCAAGGAGAGAGTCCTCAGAAGAAACCAAACTTGCTGACATGTTGATCTTAACTTGTAGCCTCCAGAACTGTGAGAAAATACATTTCTGTTTAGGCCACCTAGTCTGTGGTGTTTTGTTACGGCAGCCAGAGCAAACTAATGCAGCTACACAGAGAGGTCTCCATTGATTTCAGGGTTTTATTTTCACAGCATGTAAAATCACCAAAGATGGTTTTATATAAAGCAAGGACAGTACAAAGGGCTGGAGGAACAAAGGCCGGGTTGACTCAGTCTTTGGGAGTTGCAGAGGAGTGTCTCCTTAACATACACCGAGAGCAAACAGCTTTGCTCCGTCCCGTCGCCATGGAGAATGATCTTCCACCTGGAGAGCACCCCGGCCACACCTGACCACGGAGAACAGCGACATGGGTTGAGAGGAAAGGCGGACAGACACCAGATCAGGAGGCGGTGCGTGCCCTACGGCCTAGAATGTTTTTCTTAAATGTGTGGGGTGTTTTTAAAGGTCTTAAATAGACGAGTGACATGATTGTTCTTGCATTTTAGGAAGGTCACCCTGGCACACGGGTGAATTGGGGGAAGATGTAAGGAAACCCGCAGGAGGCCGGCTCTGGGAGTCCACTGATGAGGAACAAAGGTGGTAGAAAGGCGGAGTCTGAAGGACTTGGCACTGACTAGAAGCCAGGGCAAGACGTTTCCCAGCCTCCTAACTGGGGAGACTGGGTTGCTGGAATACTGAGAGCAGCCCTAGGAATAAGAGCAGCTGAAGGCATGCAGAGCGAGGGGTTTTCAGTGTGGGGTGTAAGACAGAGCCAGGGACTTCCTGCGAGCCAGGGCCTCTGGAGACTCCTCTGGACTAAAGGGGACAGACAAAGCCATTCATCCAACTGAGGTCGCTGGACACTGTTTCTTTAGAGAAGAAGACGGGCACTGAGGAGGGAGCCCTCGGAGACCCCGATAGCTAAACGGAGAGGAAGAGGGAATTGAGGACCCAGTCAGAGAGCGGCAGGAGGACAACCTGGAGAGCACTGCCAGACGGGCCAGGAAGACGGAGACTGACACCTTTTATATTGAGTTAAGAGTTCATCGTCTGCCGCTTCCCACTAAAACACAGTAAACTCCATGAGAGCAGGNTGTCAGGGGGAGGAATGGTGCAGAGGCTGGGGGCATTTGGAAGGAAGCAGAAGACTTTGGCCCAGACTGTCCTTGAGTTAAGAGTTCATCGTCTGCCACTTCCCACTAAAACACAGTAAACTCCATGAGAGCAGANAGCCAATCTCTCACTTCAATGTTTCTCTCTCTCTCCTTATCTCTAAAAGTAAATTTTAAAAAAACCTTNGCTGCAGCCAATCTCTCACTTCAATGTTTCTCTCTCTCTCCTTATCTCTAAAAGTCAATTTTAAAAAAACCCCACAAAAAACAAGGATCTGACTAAGACAACATCAAACACACCTTTGTTTTTAGGCCAAAAACTGGTTATAAAATCTGATCAGGAGCTGACCAGTAGTACAGGAAAACTGTCCTTTTAGCAGAGAAATAACATTAATTGTTAGCTTTACATAAGCACACTGTTGATATAAAAGCTTAATTTTTTAAAACTCTTACAATAACAGTTTAACTTTAGGCAGTTTAATTATAAGATGTAAAATTCTGAAATAACCAGGACAAAATTATTTTCATTCCTTTAATGAAAACATATCTCTATATCTTATACCATCTTTTACTGCAAACACATATTCTTTCCATGTTAATTAGAAAGTTTACCCTTGGACACCTCAATTTCTAGTGACAACTGAAAGTGAATTATCAGCGTTCTTTAGATTGGCAAAAATGTGACTCCACATTCCAGGAAGACCAAATAGCAGAGCACTTTCAGAGAACTGAGAGGCAGAGGCACTTGAGAGCAGACAGCTTGGGCCAGAGTTGACGGAGGTGGGAGGACAGGTGGACAGGAAGGCAGGGCAGACCAGAGACTGAGTCTCCCAGGTTGTGGCTTCAGCTGGGCAGCAGTGCAAAGTCTCTGGGGATTTTAAGCAGAGAGGAACAGCATGGTCAGAGATGATTGCAAAGAGATTGTGCTGGCTTCATGTCAAGAACGGGTCAGAGTGGGGCAAGAGGTGATGGGGAAACACACAGTAGGCCACTGTGCTGTAGAAGGCCATGCAGACCTGGCCTGTTGACTGTGTCAGGGGGAGGAATGGTGCAGAGGCTGGGGGCATTTGGAAGGAAGCAGAAGACTTTGGCCCAGACTGTCATTGAGTTAAGAGTTCATCGTCTGCCACTTCCCACTAAAACACAGTAAACTCCATGAGAGCAGAAGCACTTTCTGCTGTGTGCAGTGTTGCACCCCCAGCCCCTGTGGGTCAGCCAAGGTCTAGCTAAGAAACAACAGTAGGTATGTCTGTGGGGAACACTGGTAACCCAGAGGTAACAACTAGGAAAGTATCTGCCAGGCTTCTGGGGACAGGGAACAAAAGGGAAGAAACTGAACTTTTGAAGACGAGCTTAAAGAGAAGGAGCTTGGAATCAACTGCCACTGTTGGAAGGACACGGACAGGAGTAGTAAACAGAAAGTTAGAAATAGCCCTCCTCTGCATCCCAGTCTCCCTCTAGCTCCCCCTTTAAG